AACCATCAACACTTAACCACATATAGGTATGGTTAGTTTGATTGGAAATGACCCTCCCCACCACCCCACTTCTTTTGATTCATGACTTACGGGATACCTTGTATATCGTATATCTAGATATTTATGTAAATATAATATTTGCCAACCCTGTACAGTGGTATTCAGAGGAAAAGCGTATAATACAAGTATATTACAGGGAGAAATTAACGTCATCCTATTTGCATAAAACGGGCTATCGGGAATGATTGTTTACCGAATGTTGACTATTAAGTTGTCATAGGTTCTCAAAAACACAAAACATTGTCTGAGCCAGTTTTATACAACTTGAACTAGGATGCCGTCAACCTCTCCTTTTAATTCTTGCACGCTTTTTTATTGAATACGACTGTACAGTCTGTCCCATTTTCGATGTCCTTACGCCTTACGAAAAAGTAAAAACTGTCGCTCATACATGTTTTTACGTAGAATCCAGTGGCGTAGTCAGATTTTCAGTATGAAATGTTATTACTCAGATATAACCCGAAGTTATGTTTTTCAAATGGAACACCCTGTATATTTTTTATATTTCAAATTTTGATGCTCTGAGCTTTCTAAAAATATATAACACTCATGAGAAATTTCAAGTATTAGCCATGAGCTTAGATGATTTCTAGTTTTTCAGTAGATATTTCATCGATGGGCCTTGAAAGTATATGTTGCAAAATATTCCATATCCCTCACAATTGTACGGGCATTATCTAAGTGATTTATAAGGATCAAAATATCATTTTGCTGGATTGAGAACCAGCCACTATGGTTGTGAGTGTTCTAATTGCACGCAACAAACCGCATTTGCTGATTATTTTATTTTCAGGCAGCGTAAAAAAAATCATTGTGTGGTGCAATTGGTCTCGACTGAAAAATGTTTCCTGAAGGTGAGTGAATCAAAAACGTCAACTATATATGATATTGTGAATGATTTTATGCATTGAATGGCAAATAAAAACATGATTCAACATGGTGGTTCACAGTGTTTGTTTCTAAAATGTTTTTCGGGATCAGATTTCAGGACATATTTGTGTACCATCACATTTGTGTGCTCCGGGAGCGTACCGCTACGGAACAATGTTCATAATTGATTTCGATTCAAACATTCCATTGTGTCAAAACTGTCCTCCATCCAAGAAGTTTGAATTGCAAAAAGATCAGGATGAAATTCACGATTTGTTGGATCGGATAGGATCAGATCTGGAAATCGATTCCGATTAAGATGACCAGTGGAAGTTGAATGCACATGAACAGGTAGAAGTGCTGGAGGAATATTTGTTGGGTAAGTGGATGAAAATGCCAACTAACCAACCGTTTTTCTTGCAAATAGAGAAGCTCCTATTTCAACAAATGACAAAAGATATGATGAAATTGACCACTGGCCTCTCATTGATTCTCCGAAATCACCACGGACTTGCTGACTGGAAAGTTGCGGTAGCCGTTCAAGGACGAGATGTTAAAAATGCAATGTACGCCTATGCCTGTGCTTGAACAATGATAGTGATTGTATCGTCACTTTTCATAACAAACCATACACAATAAATGCATATTTCTCCATGATTAGCGTTTTCTTCATTCTGAGTTGAAATCCCATTTCACTCCCAAATAACACGATTGTGAGGGTCCAGAAAATAATATTACATCATCCTGAAAAAAGACGAAAAAAATTCAGGAAGTTTCTGAGGTTACTCTGAGTCACACCTGCTAGGAAAATTCCGGCTATTCTTTCCAAATTATTCTCAGGGGTGTAAGGGTTATCACCAATTTTCATATTTACGTTGTTAATTTTACCAACATTCAACATTTACCAATATTCAGCACTATTTATCTACTATAAAAGCTGTGGACCTAATTAGTATATGAAAAAAAAGAGGGGGGAAGAATGTTTTGTGATCCTTCTCACCTACCTGTCGAATTTTCAAAATTTTCACACAACGGCAAATAATAATCCAGATCAAAACTACGAAAATTTTGGAACCAGCTTATTTCCCAATCATATCTAATTTTTGGTAGTTTTCATATCCTGGATCAATGCTTATTCACCATTGCGGATAGATATAAGGTTTGGCAAAATATCTCTTGTTTGATTATTTATTTTGATTATTTTTTGTGTAATTTTTTTTCTGCAAATGATTAATAAAGACGATTTATTATTATTATTGTGAGATATAAAGATTATCAAGTACCATTACAGGAACACATTCATAGAACAAAACTTCCATCCACGTGTATTTTGAAAAAGTTATGTTTTTTTTTTCGAAATCCCCAAAAAAAAGGTTAATTATTGCCCCACAAAATATTGTGAGATATTCATATTATCAAGTACCATTAGAGGAACTCTTCCATAGGAAAAAACTCCCATCCACGAGCATTTTGAAAAAGTTATGATTCTTTTCCGACATTTCTAAGAGGACCTGTGGGGTTAATACTTGGTCCTACAAAATATTGTTAGATATACAGATTATCAAGGACCATTGAAGAAATACATTAATTGAAAATAGTTTCATCCACGGGCATAGTTTGGAGGTTTTAGTAATTTCGTGGCCAGCCACGAGTTAAGGTTTGTTAATCTGTGGTATAAATTAGTAATATACGACCAGTCGTGGTATGGCGCGCGCCTTGAATAATTGGCGAAGTCACTGGAACTCGTGGCTGGTTTCACACTGATCATAATCTATATACATTCTGACGGTAGATTTTTGAGAAATTCATAGGTTGGATGATCTGTGATCATCGTATATCATGCGCCTCATGTATTGAAAAGGTACACTAGCTGTTTTCCAGAAAAATCGATTGATCTGAAAGATGAACAAAATGGAGCCCTCGCCAAAATTTGAAAATACAGATTAGATACCATGTTTTTTGTGGTAAGGTAAGTTCGCGGGATGATTTATGTGGAATCGTTGTTATCTTTGGGATGAAAAGAAGAAACACATTCTAAAGTACCTAGATTCAGAGTGAATTAAAAATGTGCGTTCTGATGGAGGTGATAGTACATCGAAAAATAAGTATAGTTTAGAAGTTGTGCGGGAAAATTATTTCAATTTCATCAACTTTGGAAAGATATATCTCCCTTAATATATATAATTTATGCCATTATTTACTTCATGGAACTATACTTATTTTTCAATTATACTATCACCTCCAGGAAGCTCGGTACCTACACATTTTTGACACCCTCTCACCCATAGTATATTCAGGACTGTCTTTTGACGAAGGCACTCATTCGTATCGTATTTACTGATAGATTTTTCGAGCGTCAGTTTAGGACGAGAATATTTTCAAAAAGTTAGTGTTAAGGCGCGTACACCCCTGTTATCCATGAGAAAATTGATCAGCATCAAGAAATCTCATACAATTTCATGTTATTTTCAATTGATCAGCAAAAACTTACACTTTCTAAAAAGGCCGTTTTAGAAAACAATATACGAGACAATTTCATTTATAGAGTACAAGAATTTGGCCGTATGCGTACAGTTCACTCAGTGCAATGATATTAACTGCTCCACAGGAGTTGATAATATTTTCAGTTGAAAAAATACCTAACCAAATTGAAACTATCATAACTGAAGAAGATGCATTTTTCGAACTTTGCTTCGTATGGTTTCATTTGCGCTTCCCTCCTGGGAGGCCCTGGATCCTTCACTGAATTTGAATGTCCAAAAATTAAAATGAAACCAATGGGGAAGACCACAGACGAATGAAATCCGTCCAAACCTCGGTCAATCGATGAATTATGGTTTACATTTGCTGTACAGGGTATGGGCAAAATTGGGCGTCTTCACGGGCTATGTCAATAACTAAAGGAGTTATCGAACCTACTAATTTCCTAATTATTATTTGTCTTATTTATGTATCTTGTAGTTTGAATGTGTTGATAACAATGATATCAAATCCAATAATTTCATTTCATCGATCCATCACACTTGGGGGGAATGATAACAAAGATTTAGGGTGTGAAAATCGAAATTTTTCAACTTGAAGAATTTTTCGTGTCGAAACTATTCATAATTGATCGAAACGGTTTTCATGTCCCTATCTTAACTTTTCATGTTTCATCAGTTGATATTTGAAATACATACAGGGTGGTTCAGAATTGAGATTTTTCACCACCCTGTATTTATTTCAATTGCATATCAATTGATAGTACATGAAAAGTTGAAATAGGATCATGAAAACTGTTTTGATCAATTATGAATAGTTTTCACACAAAAAATTCTTGAAGTTGAAAAATTTCGATTTTGCACACCCTATATCTTTGTTATCATTCCCGCTAGACCCTAAGTGTGATAGATCGATAGAATCAGCTCTTCAGGGAGAATCTGAAAGTGGAATGATATACAGGATGTTTCAGTGAAAACATCAAAGTTGTTGCTACTTTTCAATATAAGCGGCAACGTTGCAACGCTGAGAATGTTTTAGTTCGATAGAACACAACTAATTATCCAAGGCACCAACTATTCAGAATAATCCTGAGTTGTGTTCTCCAGAAACGTCTTATGTGCCATCCACCGTGAATCACCCTGTATAGCAATTTGAAATCAGCATATTCCTGTAGCTATCTCTCTCTTATACCTTGCCATTCTGCAGTGTTGCAGTACAGGCAATCGAATATAATATAGCGATTTGAAATCAGCATAGCATAGTCTATTCTGAACTCTGATACCTTGCCATTTTGAAGAGTTGCAGTGCGATTGGTCAGCTCAAGGACATTAGGCGTGGTGGGACTAATACGTCACACCAGTCACACCAATGAATTGACACCATTTCAAATGGCGCAGGAAGTGCGTTTTTTGAAATTAACATATTTTAATACAATTTTTTCATCGTCCTTCTATGAATGAAAAAATCCAAAATTATATGATGTCAGTTAAAAAAATCAGGACTCTCCCCCAATATTTCCTCTCGAATATAAATATTCCTTACTGATGTGGAGCAATTTATGATAAAGGTTCTTCCGTTTTCTTTTCCAGACCACTATGATTACGTGGAGAGGAGAGAAAGCGATTATGACAGCGACTGGGAGTACAACAGAGAAAGGGACCCTTGGGACACAGAGAAAGACAGAAAAACGAGGTCTCGGAGTCCCGACTACAGAGAGCGAGACAGAGACCGGGACAGGAGACACCACAGAGGTAGAGAACGGGATAGAGACAGAGAGAGGGAACACCGATCGAGACGAAGATCGAGAAGCAGTGGATCGAGGTGGGAGAGGAAGTCGGAAGATAGAAAAGCTCGTGACAGAGATAGATACCGGGACGATGATAGGGACAGTGATAGGTATAGGATTTTCGGAATGGTTATGACGTTTATCTTGACAATCAATGCTTAATTCGTATTATAATTTTAACAGTGAGAGGAGCCCCAATGGAGGTCTCATTGGAGCGAGCGGGTCAGAGATTATTGGATACAAGAGTCAACCTCCCAATAATACTATCATGATCAGGGGATTAGCTCAGCACATATCTGAATATGATGTGAGTGTATGTATTCATTTTGTACAGGGTGAGCGAAACTAGATGTCTCAGCTATATTGTAAAAAAAGAAAAAGCTATATTATAAGAAAGGAAGAGCTATATTATAAGAAAGGAAAAGCTATATCATAAGAAAAGGAAATGCTATAGACAAAATGCAGGCAAAGATTTCAAATTGTATTGGGTATTTACATTCTAAGCCGAATTTGCATATTTTTCCATATTTGGAAACTTGAGTAATTACGTCATTGAATTATTGAAAGTTGATGTTACTTCCGGTCAGACCGGAAGTTAACTTCGACATGTCAATATGCTCAAATTCTAGCTCTTATGTCATTATACCGACGCTCCAAATTTCACAAACCTACTTCATACAATAACTGAGATATTCCGTAGGCAATACTTCCGTAGCCACCCGGTATATAAAGAGTTCTTCCAAGTATGGAATTAATTTTGAGAGATTTTGAGAAATCAAAGAATCAAGAAAAGAAATTACCAGATTTTTGAAATAAAAATTGAAGAATTTACTCCTTCCCGCACCTTCTCAAGCTGGATAAGCTCATAAAATGAGCAAGAGATAAAATTGAGTGAGAAAAACAGTAATTTTTCGTCAGTTCCTGATGAAATTCTGTAGTTATATATAATTCTGCAACATAAGAGGAAACCATTTTATCGTCACAAAAAGATTTTTCTATTGTATTTCCTTTTCTTACCATCAAGTTTCGCTCACTCTGCACTTACCTATGCATTATAGATATACAGGGGTGGTCTGAAATAAGCAACTCAACAAGCTGGGTCGTGCTATTGCCAACCTCTAGAATCTAGATACATGGAACAATTATACCAAAACTCGTTTGTTTATAGACATAGGATACCTATATGATCACAAAAAGCACAGATTTTGAGAAAAATATAAAAAAGGATGTTACATTCAAAAAATGGAGCTGCACTTTGTCATGTTAAATATGATGTAAAACTTCTAAAAATGATCGTGAGACGATGTCATTGCATATTATTCAACTTCCGATTTTTATTCGTGGTGAAAATAATGTGAATGCGTGGTGGGGCCTCTGAAATAGATAAACATGCATGTACAGGGTGATTGTTTATATTTTACTCAATATAGCTAAGTCAGTTATTGTTGGTTCTACAAAAACGTTTAAATGGGCAAATATGAAGTATTTTTATGAGCATTCAAAATTCAGTACTTACTAGGAAATGCAAATAACCATCATAAACCCAAAAGTTTTACCCAAACTGGTATCTTTAAAGAGGATATGTAATTCATTTTCCTAAACGGTAAAGCTCTTTCTTCTGATTTCATATAAATATACAGGGTATTGCGAAATTCGACCGACAACGCGCTTGACAGGTGATAGCGCTCGTGATTTCATAATCACTGAGATAGGGACATACGGTCTTCAAGTGTTCAGTTCTCGAGATACAGGGCGTTGAAGTTAAGAAATTAAAATAGTTTTTTCGCAATATCTCAAGAAAAATTTAATATAATGCATACAGAGGGTTGTGATAACTTTTCCTCCCATATTTTCTACGCCACTGATGACATTTTAATCATTTCCAATTTCTCGAATTGATTGTTCAATTATGTTGAAAAAATGCGCATCACCTTCAACTAGGCTAAAATGAACAGTTATAGAGATATTTGACCCAAAATAAAAGTTTGCATAGTAATTTTTGATCTTCCTCAGTAGGTAGTAGAAAATTTAAAAAAAATGTTTTCTCTTCTTGCGTGGAATAACTATTTTTCTGTTCAGCTATAGAATGGGATCTGAATAGTTTCTAATCTACTCAACACCAGAAAAATATTTTTGGAATTTTCTACTACTGAAAATGATGAAATACTATGCAATCTTCTATTCTGGGTCGATTATACTGTTCATTTCAGCTCAGTTGAAGGTGATGCATTTTTTGAACTAAATTGAACAATGAATTCGAGGTATTGGAAATAATCGGAAGTTAATCAGTGGCGTAGAAAATATGGGAGGAAAAGTTGCCACAACCCCCTGTAGGGCACCACTGGAAAAAGGCCGGAATGGCTTCCTGGTCAAAAAATGACCTATTCAAAGATGAAACCATATACCGAAGTTGAATGCATTATATTCAATTATTCTTGAGATATTGCGAAACAACTATTTTCATTTCTTTACTTTAACGCCCTGTATCTCGAGAACTGAACACTTTAAGACTGTATGTCCCTATCTCAGTGATCATGAAATCACGAGGGCTATCACCTGTGCGTGGTCAGTCGAATTTCGAAACACCCTGTATATAACTCTATTGGGTTTGTTTATCTTTGTCAGTTTTGCCGAAAATGCTGCGATTTCTGGCGTTCTACAGCTGCCCTAGATTTATTCGAAAATATTAATATTTTTCGAAAACGGACAAAGATAACCCTAATAAATAAAGTATGTACCGGGTGACACAGGGTATCGGACCACCTAACTTTTGCATTCGCTATTAAGGCCGTGCATGATACGCGGGCCGTGGCCTTGCGGGTTATTCAGGCCGTACGGGTTACGCAGGCCGTGCAAGTTACGCTGGCCGAGTGGGTTACACGGGCCGTGTGTGTTAACGTGCGGGTTATTTTAACCTATAGATATTATGCTGTGCGGGATGCTGCGGGTCGGGTTCCATTTTAACGTTTCTTCTTCTTCTTCCTTGTTTCTTTAACGTCGGCCTTGTTCTGCTACTGAGGCTAATAACCGATGCCGGTGAGCACACTACCCCCAACCGGAAATTTTGACGAATCCTCTGGTGTTCCAACCAGAGGTAGGGATCTTTAACGAGCCCAACATCCATGGCCTCGGGACCGCCGGCTTAACGTCCCCTCCGAAGGACGGCATATCCGTACCATATCTTGTGCTTATTGATATGGTAGCGGTAGCTATGATATATTATGCTATTTCGCTACCGATGTGCGGGCTTACGCGGCGTTTCCTCGAATGGTCACCCATCCAAGTACTAACCGCGCTCGACATTGCTTTACTTCAGATATCGAACGGCTAGTGTATTAAATTCATTTATTCATCGACAAAGTTTTCACAGTAGAACACATATTTCAACTACATATTTGTGTATGATGAGCTTGGTATAGCTGGGAGTATGCCTCAACGTCCCTCCACTGACGCAGAGGTGGCTGGTGTTAGCCAAGGAATATGAGAGGATATGTGAGGTGTTCGTCGCATTGACCTATCTCCTAGGGCAAGGCCCTTTATACAGGTAATCTCGCTGGTGGTACCCATAGGGTGGGGGAGCTGCTCGTGCGCGATCAGAGTGGAAAGGGTTACTTAGGTGTTGGAGGAAAAATAAAATGGTAAAAATAAAAAACCTACTTCTTGTTTGTCTCGGGCAGTTGTGCGCATGTGTTTCCACGTGGGCACTTTCGCCCGAGTTCAGTGTCTTTTACGACACTATATTATTTTCGTGCTTGGGAGATAGTGCTGTCTAGAGTCTCCTCGGTGGCTCGGACATGTCCGAGCACCCGGGGAGGTTCCCGACTATAGATTGTCAGGCTCCCTAAAAACATCGGTTGATGCATATATCAGTCCGTGTTTTTTACACGGCTAGTGCCTTACCTGAGAAGCTAGGGCGATTTTAACGTTTCTGTAAGACCAATATTCACTGAGATGGCTATCGAGTAAAATATAAGCAATCACCCTGTACCCGCAGTTTCTTTTTTCATGATTATTATTGCATTCCCTCGTTGGTCACATCATTGAAATTGAAACCAACGCCATAAGCCGAAATTTGCGGTGTTAGGGAAGCATACATTTACAAACATCCATGGCCTGAGTGGGACTCGAACCATTGATCGGTTGGAGTTTTGATTATTGTTCATCAGGTATGTTTTGTTATCCCTATTTTATTTACAGATTCGTCAAGACATAATTGCGTGTGAGCTGATGCCCAAAGACATCCGCCTGATCAGGAAAAAGGACACAGGTAATGAGCTGGACTAGAACTAACTTTAAGGTTTTCTTAGGCCGTTTTTTGTGAATATATCATCTCGTAAGGTCGGGTAATGCCATTGGTATCTATTGTGCTGTTTAGGTGCTTCCCGCGGTTTCGCCTTTGTCGAGTTTGCCACACTGGGTGAGGCCGTACGTTGGATGGACATTAAACAGGTATCTTAGTTTAAAGAAGACTCTGTATTATTGAAAATGTTCCCACTTTCATCCAGCGATTCGATAAGTATAACAATATTTTAATTCCTTTATTCCTTTGGGCTGCTCTTTTTTATGCTCGGTCATTCTCAAATTATCAGGATTAATGTAGAGGTGATATTTTTTGTTCAAATGAAGTTTTCGACGAAAGTTCTTCAAGCTTGCTGTTGTTTTCTGATTGATACACTACAATTTCGATACTGGAATAGGCCAAGTCAATAGGAGAATTCCATCTTCCGCAGATAAAAATTCGAATTGAAGTGAAGTGCTACTACCAGGTAGCCCAAATCCACTGTACCTCTGTATCTACATCGTCATTTTGATTAAATGTTTCAAATTTGGTACATCAATCTGATGGTGCTGTGGATGTTCAATAATCAAAATGAACTTTGCATTCCATAGGGGGCCGAAATATACTTGAGCAAAGTTTTTAAATTAAGTACCTATACCTACATTGAAATATTTCATGTCCTAAGAGAAATAGTTTTTGAGATGCGGGGGGAGGTATTGAAAAATGTTGAAATAACTTTCAGGTTCAATATCAACTTTTATGAGCTTTTATAATCGCAAAATTTAGCCATGTTCGTGAATGAAAAATTTCAAACTTATACTATGGTTATCAAGTAATATTAAGGGATATGTCGTGATTGGTAAAAATACACGGCGAACTTAAGGAGATCCCTTCTGCTATACTTTTTACATAGGAGCCTACCAAAAATGTTCCACTTCCCCGACATTTTTGTTTACACCAGCGAATTGACGAAAACTCAAATCGTAAGTAATCAAGAGAAACCAAATTTGTTATCGAATAATGGTACAGATATGGAAAAAACCTCGAAGACGTACATTTTATCTATTATAAATGAGTCATTCAATGTCGCCACCTCGCTCTGTCACAATCCTTATTTTTCTCAAAGCTCTGTAAATTGTTTTATGATTATTGAAATTCACGATATTTCATAACATGAATAACGTGAGACGACGCGTGGGCGTGACGATATTTGATGATTTCATTAAAATTTTATGATTTTGAATAATGAATGAATATCAAATAGGATCATTGATGCATTGAACAATCAATAGAAAGTAGATATGTGTCCCAAAGGCGATTAGTGTATACAACCCCATTCCGAAGCTGCATTCCATCACATTTCAAGGGGAACTATTCAGATGTGCCTTGAATGGAGTATTTAGGATTAGCCCGATTAGCTATTCTAACTGATGAATGAAAAAAACTTACTATTATGGGAATTTTGCAAATCGTAACTATCGAAAACGAAGCCTTTTGTGTAATTATATACAATTTATTATGTCCATAGGTAAATGTTATACTCCGTCTCATATTCGCTACATACATCCAAATCGATGTACCAAATTTGAAATATATTCTATCAATATAACAATGGATGATATACAGGAGTACATTGGGTCTAGGTCACACCTTATATGGCTGACAAAATTCTATTACGATTTTGCTATTTTCGTCTTGAAAATCGTTTTTCATGTAACTTTGTGTTGCTGTAAAACTTTATCATCTACGATAGTGAAAAAAACATAGTTGAAAACAGTTACCCTCTTATATCAAAGAAAATAGTGTGTTGGATAGAGACATGTAAAAAATATGCTGTATGAAATGCCTGGTATTCTTCAATTTTGCACTGAATGAATCGATTGCCATTGCCAGAACGGTGTTCTTCTATGTGTGAACTATCGGATTTACCTTAATGTCAACACAGTGTCGTGTGTGCCATATGTGTGTACATGAGCACACCGTCGACGTATGAACAAAACGTCCACGGTGTGTTTAACTTCGGTTGTAACTTGTGAAAATACCACTCAAGATCCCATACAACGTTCGGCTAACGAAACTGATCACTGTAGATCGATACAAGAGTGACCGATATTTGACAGTATGAGATGCCGAGAAAACTAGTTCGTTTTGCATCTTCAGGCAACGAAAGGGTCTCTTTAGAAAGAGGGGTATTCTTTCCTGAGCGGCGGGACCTGATTGTTTTTCGTCCTTTCAGGGTGTTTTGATGCTGCAAGACCAGTACCGTGCTATCATGCAATATAGCATACCGAAGGACATGAGCACGTCCGAGAAACTGCCTACTCATAAGGCATCGGCAGATTGGTTCTGCATAAAGGTAAGTTTTTTTCTGATTCACATCTTAGACTGAGTTGATCCTTACAATCTTCTCCTAATGATTCTTTGTATGGTCAGTGGTGAACCCATGTTGTAGTGTTAGTTGTGATCTATTACTCATGACTCCAAGAACTTAAAACCTCCAAATGTTAAAATGAGCCTGAAATATTATAGCGTTGTCTATTGGCAGGGACTGGTGGAGTGTTTCTGCACTCAATGTATTTGTTTCCTTTTTACTCGCATGTGTTAAACAGAGGTAAATATGAACTCTGTGGAGACACTCCACCAGTTCCTGCTAATGGAATTTGCTATCAATGTTCTTTTGTTAATGTCAATTATAATAATTATGCAGTTCGATCTCGTAGGTGGCATAGCTTCTTTCTTATGGCATCAGCGGTCTACATAGTAGTTTATGTTTGTGGTTTGAGGAAGGAAAGGTTCAAGAATCTTGCCTTTTTCAATAATTAACAATATATGAAAATATGCCTTATTACTCAGCGATCATTGTAATCATTTTGTAGGTAAAATTTTCCCGAACTCTTGAGATTCGTTCGTTATTTTGATGCATTTCAAGTGGAAAATTGGATATTCACCCTGTATATCCATGTAAAATGTCAGCTGACTCCTGATGAATAGTATTTCAATTTTCTCCACCTCTACCGATAAATATATGTTGTATAATATTCTAGAACCTTTTTTTATGGAGGAAATTTTCATCAATCAATTGTCTTAGGGACATTTTTAACAAAATTTTGAAACCAAAATACCCCTAAATGAAATTTCAGTTTTCAATTTTCTCCGCTTTCTGTGCTCTTGTCGATAATATAGCTCAAGGTAAATATGCCTTTCGCCTAAAAATGCGGAATAACATGGGTGGGTTGAAAGAAATTGAATCACACTGTATACATTTCAGTGTGGAGCTCAGAATTTCAAAAGAAGAGACAATTGTTTCAAATGTCATGCTTCGAGGACAGAGAGTGAAGAAGGTGGAAGTGGCAGTGATGAAATTTGCAACTATACTACGAAAAGTAAGAATACACATTTTATCAAAATTTCTTCTAATCTTTTTTTACTGAGTTGGTAGTATCAAATCCAATGCTTCCGAAATTATACATTTTTCTAAAAATGTAAAATAAAATCAGTTTTATTTCTGAAAACGATTGCTAATGATAAGTAACAAATTTGAAGTTTCTCATACAATAAAAGCATACCTATTCCAAAACAATCAAAGTCAATGAAATTTCACTATAGAGATGAAAATTGAATCGACTTCAACTTCTTCGCAATAAAGAGTTAGTCGACCTGTGGAGACCGAGTTTGGTCAGTTTTGTACCCTGGGCAGCTAATAGTATGGCATCAGCGTTCTCGCTACCACAGTTAAAATAATTAAGAATCACCAAAGAGAACGTGCGAAATGATGTTCCCATCTTTCTCGCGAAGAAGTTGAGGTACCTTCAAATCTCGCCGACCCTGAATTGAAATTCTAAAACACTTTTTAGCTATTATGATGAGGAATCTTGACGCTTTGACTACCGAAGATTCGGTAATGGCGATGCTCAACACCGCCATTCCCGATTTGGTCAAGTCCATATCGGCCGTTTGCATCGGTCGGGATCCGCTGACGTCGACGTCGCGAGGGCTGTGCTACCTCGGCACCGAGAGCACCATCGACGCTCTGGCGATATTTGGGACCTTGAACAGCCTGAAGAGCCCTCTTACCATTGATGGCAAAACTGGTGAGTGCTTATCTTGTGTAATGTTTTCAGCTGATGGTCTCCTAAAGGCAAGATCTTGGAAAATGTATTTACTATTTATTTATTTTTTATTCATCTATCTATTTATTTATTTCTTACACTGTTCAAAATGTTGCCCCATTTACAGAACAGAGAAAAAGTGTGAATTAAAAACATAAATGCAATGAATATTACATAAGCATGATGAATAGATGAAATGAAATGACTGCTTATAGACGACACCGCAAAACCGAGTAACTGCAGAAACCAAATTTTCCAGGAGACACTAAAATCTAAATAATTTTGGGTTAACTGATCAGATTTAATAGTAAATAGTCACAAACCACTTGATTATCAATACCCTTACGTGTGTACATACATTGATTATTGAGAAAATATTATTGTTTGTGTTATTGTCAGAGTAGATACTCAGTTATACAACAGCTTCTATGCGCAAACAACAAGCAATTATTCAGGGAAAGTAACTCGCAAAAACACGTAATTTCATGTTTCTAGAATGTCTGTTTAACAAATTCTTATGATAAATTCTTATAATCTGTATATATAGCAGGGATTAATCTCTGCAATTAGTAGTTGAATACAACCACAATACACAATAGTAATATTCTTTCAATCTGAACTAACTGAAATATTCCACTAAAACTGAACTGAATCGTTCTTTGGAGTGACGTTCATTATGTACAACGCATGTCAACTGATTCAGTTCAGTTCAAGTGAAATGTGTCAGTTCAGAATGAAAGAATATCACTAATATTAGAGACATGAATCACTAATTTTGTCTTTCAGATGAGGGGTTATGTATTTACGGATTTTAAAATATTTCCAATTTTTTGCCACTTGAGAGGTTTTACATACGCGTCCCCACCAATACAATCTAACGTCTGTTGCCAGAACCTCATTTTCGAATTTTTGTCAGTTACTTGGTTTTGCGGTGTCGTCGACGTTTTGTATTAATAATTATATTTTTCTAATCACATAACTAAAATGGCTTTTGGCGTACGGATATTTAACACGCTAAATGATGGATTAATCACGGATTGACGATCTGTGATTCATTAAAAAAATTTAACACATTACCATGGCAGCACAGTTTTTGAAATACACCTTCAGTCATTTGAGTCCTTTCCAGCCTGTCAATTGTAGGAACTCAACTGTCATTTTCGAATTTTGTTGCAATCAGAATTATTCAAACAATTTCGGTTTGTTTCAGAATTCTTCATTGAAAATGTAATTATGCGAAATGTGGAAGAAGAAGAAATCGAAGAGAATGTTTTGCTTGCATATTTCCAAGAACTCTGATGTGAAAAAATGAAGCTCTCATCTTTTTGGCAATTCATTCTATGCTAAGCATGAAAATAAACGTAAAAAACAATATTTATGTGAGCAAAAATTATGCAATCACAATATGGAAACAAACATGAGAAATCGAAAACTTTGATACCTCAGCGAATCGAAGAGTTTATCTTCTGCGTCAGATGAAAACTTCACATTCACAAATGTTAGTGGGCATATAAATTCATGTATCCTATGGACTGGCCCCTCTACAACCAATATGACTTATACGTGTCTCGTTGGTTGCATACAGTTGCATAGTATTATGTATGTTCTCAATTCCCATTCTCTTCGAATTATTTTGTAGGTTGGCAGATAGGTTGAATCTAATTTTCGGGATCTAATTATGGGATCTTGTCGAAGAAATGAATTATGAGTTCGTAGAAAAAATATAGTATGTGACGCGTTTATAAACTCTTCTAGGCACTCGTTTATTAAACACTCGCTCGGCTCTGCTGCGCTCGTGCTTAAAACACTCGTTTCTAAAAGGACGTTTATAGCACTCGTTACATCTTCCACGAGCGAGACCATTTTGGTATAGTATAAGTGTTTTTAATTGTGACTGAACTGTAGCGTTGGAACTTATTGGGATGTCGTTGTTCCAATAGCGATCTTACTGACACGATCATTACAGATCCGTATTATGGCAACATTCATGTAGGCGATTTTTAGTGACATGGTTTATTTTGATGAATTCTACGCTATGTTCATGTCACCGTTCTTGATGTCTACGTCTACGAACTGAATAAACAACCAGCTTTAGGATATATTCTCGAGCTTTATACGAGTTTCATCTTTCATTTCAGTCCAATATGCACCATACACGTAAGTGCGTCTTTACTACGATATTATTTGGTCGTTAGTTTGTAATCGAATTTTCAAGCGTTGATCGATTTAGTGAAATTTGGCAGGTGTATATAGATCCGGTGACAATGCAATTCGAAACTCGTCAAAATGGCTCCTCCAAGATGAGTTTTTTCATCTTCTGATCCGGATTTTTCCTAATAGACTTCGACGTATACGAGATGATGATATAAAAGAGAGGTAGGCAGTAATTTGAATGGTATTTCGTATATTCTGTATAAAAAGGTGCTCCATCTTTGAAAATATACTGTATTTCAAGCTGTCCATTTTATCTTGTGCCTATAGGTCTCCTGGAACAAAATAAATCTTTTGTGATCGAAAGATAAGATTTCATGAACATCATAATTTGTCACAATCCAGTTAATGAGAAAACAAGAACTAGAGAGCATTGTAAAATAATTAATTCTGAATATAGCCTTTGAGACTTCATATTTCTCCACAATCGCCTTAGTAAATCAGCATTCGGAACCAATCAAAAGGGGCAAGATTCTGCATACAACCTTCGCTTCACTACTTTGTTCACCAATAATAACTGCAGTTCCCCATCAAAAGGAACCGATCATAACCAAGCCATTGTCGATCTAAATGGAAATGCTAGTTAGTAGGCGAGAGGTATAATATTGTCTGTTCATTGAAAAAAAAAAAACAGATATGACAGTAACCGATACCGTCGAGACATCATCTACAAGAACATATGAACTAAGTTGTTCATTTTTTATTCCCAACCTAAACATTTTTCATGTTCCTGTCAGTGTCAAGCATAGACTGTCAAGTTTTTAAATAAACATCTCTCATGTTTTAACTCGAGGTGGAAACGTTGGCAATAGAGATATAAATCAAGTGTGAAAATCATCAACTTATACTCGAATGGAGGCAATGCTATATTAGCTCGGTTTATAATGCTGAATTTTAGTAGGAACTGCGATAAACATCGAATGAAACTCGTCAGTGCTGTGAGAAAAAACGTTACTGTTTGAACTTAGCGGAACTCAGAGGAACAGGAAAGTGAAGATCGTGTAGATCATTTGTTAACCATCATGGCGCTGTGAAAAGAAAACGTAAATATAGCATACAAAAATTTATTTTTCCGAGATCTTTGACGTAATAACTGCCCACATAGCCTTCTTCTTAGCACCAGTTTTGATTCAATTTCCAAAACTTCATGATCATGCCTACCTATATGCATCAAATCACAGCTTATGGTTGAAGTGTACTTGAAAAATGACCGTCTTTGTCTGTCAATCTCATTATTCAAAATTAGCAAGGACAATTCCAAATTGCTCCAGTCTCCTTTCCATGTAGGACTTTTCAAAAAAATACATGGTGAAGTAATTCCGAAAGTGGGCTGTGCAGTTGTCTTGAATAAATACTAACTGTATTTCAATTTATGAAGGATTAATTCTTCAGTTTCACGCAGATCCACTTGTAGTTATACCATTTGTACGGCATTTGCTAACTTTCATCGTTATAAATAATAATTAATAATTCTTTGGATTTCACTCTGATTCGCTGATATTATCAAAACTAACGATATAACATCTGTCAGTGTATTTCACACCGTCTATAGCCTCGGTGCAGATATTCTACACCGGTGTAATTACACCGTTGCAAAAGGACGACAACCTGTAGTGAGAAAAGCAACACACTGAAGAAAAGGAGTGCAATTTTGGGAAAAGTGTAGTTCAGTATCACACTTTCATAGGAAAGGAACAGGCCTAATATTTCATACCTCTCGCCTCCACAAACAAACTAGCTTCACCATTCAGATCGACAATGACCAAGTGACCCCGTTCCCTTCCAGTGATATTATCCTACTGTAAATACAACATGGGCGACACCAAAAAGGCCTACTCGCAGGCGGACAGCGACGCCTTCCCGAACGCCGGCGTGCCCAGCACGTACGCGATGACCGACGTCGACAGCCTGGCGGAGTACGCGGCGCGCCGGTACGCGAAATCGCCGCAGGAGTACCTGCACTACATCGAGTACTACCGCGCGTTCTTCGCGCAGCAGATCAGCTCCGGCCAGTCGATCACGCTGCAGGAGAACCAGATGGACGCGGCGAACGCGGCAGCGGCGGTCGCGCAGAGTGCCATCCAGCAGCTGAACGCCAACAAGAGTTATTACGACGGTGGGACGGCGGCGGCGGCAACGCCGACAGGGACCGACGGAAAGAAGTATCGTGAGTAGCGTTTGTTCGATGTGTCGATGTTTATTGAAGTGATGCCATGTACAGTTACATTTTTTCAAATTAATCGCTGAAAATCGACTTATCCGTTTGTCGGTATGACCCAACATTGCATTTTCTGCTTTTCCACAAATCATTGCATCGCCAAACGGTTGCGGTCAGTTGACAGGTAATTAGATGGCGATTTCAAAGGCACCGGCAGGCGTTTATAACCGATAGTAGTCGAAATTTGGACGAGAGAGAGCTGTCTTGTTCTGTAGTCTATGGAGTAAAGGGATATTTCAGTCGCATCACCCATCATGGTTAAAGCTGATAATCCCATTTCATTGTGTTCACGTCATTTCCGTTAGGTTACACCTCCCTTACCTGCCCTTTGGTTTACCAACTGAAGTTGGTGAAGGTGGTTGATGTTAAAATTGAAAATTTGTTTACAAAGTGAAAGGTACAGGATACGGAAACACTCAGATTACAAATGGATGTCGCAGTACGAGAAACACGGGCAAATGTACAAAAGGTTACGAAATGGTAGGGTAGAGATTAGGAAAGTGAAGATTTATGTGATTTCATGTTTCCAGATGTTGTTGTACAGTATTTCTCCTCGTTCGGAACATGCGATAGATATCTGATTCTAGATAATAATCTATCCAGGTTTCAAAAGAAATTAGGATTCCTGAAACGTTGACACCTGATACCGTTTAGAGCAGTGATTGTGGTAATACTCTGATGATTCTCTTCAATCAATTGAAGTCATGTATATTCCTCCTAACAAACCATCTATCAACAACATGGTTGCACACAACTTATTTTTTTGTTAATTTTCATAGTCATGATCAATCAAGTTTATACTTCAACAATAAAACAAAGATAAACAACAAATCTTTTTTATTTCGGATTTGTAATGAAAGACAGGTTATAACTGGGTTGAGTGATGAAGTGAAAGAAATAGGAATACTACAAAATACTATAACCGGGTTCATCGGGTAATGTGAAAGAGATATGCAGTTTGTTCATAGGGAAATTCAGAAGCAGTAACCGACGTGTTGGTAGCACAGAAGAGGATATTACGATGTATGTTTAATATGCCCAGGAGAACTTCTTGTAGACCGATTTTCAAGGAATGCAAAATTTTAACTATCACTGGTATTTATATATTTGAAATGTGTATGTTTGTTTTTAGGAATAAGGAGAAGCTTAATTTGAATAGTGACCTTCATAATTATCATACTAGGCAGAAAAATAATTATTGTGTACCCTTTGCAAAACTCAAAATCAGAGAATGCACCATATTTTTCAGCACTAATGCTTTTCAATAGACTACCCAATAATTTGAAGAATATCGTGAAGATCCACTGTTTCAAAAGCCAACTGAATGAATTCTTGACATCATGATACTACTCCCTTAACCCTTTCATTGCGGGTAAAATTTTGATAGTCGTGCTCTCAAAACGGGGAAAATTTAGCGTTGCGGGAACACTCGTCTCCCGGTATACGCAAGTCAGGTACGGACGTGTACACCCGTCATCCGCAACCACAGGATAACTTGGGAATGCGATTTTTTCACATATTTCAACACAAGATAAGTTCTTTTTCAATAGTCTTTATTTAAAATGAAATGTTATAATGCGATTCCTTATATCTATTAGGAATTGAAAATATTTCCATATATGAAATGGAATTTGATAATTTTTGACAGTGTGATACCTTTCAAAACATTTTATAATACACAGTGGAACATCACAAGGCGCAAAGCAGAATTAAGTTTCTTCCAGCATACAACAACTCTTCAATCTGATCGTCATTGAGATATTTTCGAGCCATCGTGGTTTAAATTCACTTGAAACAAATAAAAACCAACCAACTGATGCAACTACTACTTCGATACTGAAATATTGAATAAAATGAAAACTGCATCCACAATCGTTAAATCCTGTTGAGACATGTTTAGTTGCATCTTGACATATCAATATACGTAGACGGGAACGACAGGCTCCCGCGTATTTGGTGTACAAACGTTTTGCGGGTTTTACCGGTTCCCGCAATGAATGGGATAAAGATTATTCCACTTAAGGATGCAATAATATTTCACATAAATATGAAATGTCCCCAATGTGATATGTCTTCTAGAATTCAGTCACCTTTGGTTTCACAGCCGTTCCTGACGTGTCGCGGTACGTGTACGACAAGTCGACCGGCTACCAGTACTGCCCGCAAACGGGCCTCTACTACGACCCGGCGTCGACGTACTACTGGAACAGCCAGGTGCAGCAATGGCTGTACTGGGACCGCGACAGGCAGTCGTACCTGCTGGCGCCCGCGTACGACCAAGGGGCGTACGGCCAGGCGGCGGCGGGTCAAGAGGGCGGCCAGGAGGGAGACGGCAAGCGGACCAAGCCCGAAAAGCAGGACAAGGTAAGAAATAGAATAGAAACTTTATTGGTCCATAAATTACCACAATTATAAGGGTGTTGGACAAGTCAAGTTGTTTATACCTAGTGTAAAATTGAAATAAGTTGCATTAAAACATCCTCAAATACATACATAAAATATTAGAACGATACAATACAGTAATTATAGTAGGTACATTTGAAAAAAAAAACAGTGCGTCAAATAAACTAGGATAAAATAAAATATGCAATATAAAATTATCTGTGAATTGAATAGAGGCTATTCCTGTCCAAAAACTCATTTACTGTGTAGAAAGTACCAGATATTAAGAATTCTTTACATTTTCTCTTGAAATTCTTGTAGCAAGAGATGTTTTTCAGTTCATTAGGAAGGGCATTAAATAATTTTGAAGCAATGAATTTAGGAGATCTACGGAACATTGCAGTTTTATGTCTCGGTATGTCAAAGTTCTTATGGCGGGTTTGATAACTATGGTGATTTTGTGAAACGTTATTCAAATCACTCTTAATGAAAGTAAGGCATTGCAAAATAAATAAGAAGAGTTTTGTCTTCGTTCGACGTTGAGTCCGTATGCCACGGGCCAGTATTTCATTCATTTTCTGAATGAGAATTTGTATTTAGAATTTACTGCACCGTGTATTACAGAAACAGAGAGTCTGGCTGCAAAATTGGATGAAACATAGAACATGTCCTATTTTTCATTCATTTTATGTTGAAGCGCTTGCGCATAGCGCCTTTATTTAACCTTAGAATTGTTTGTTATGATTTGAAGTGAGAAACAATTTTTTGGGGCTATGGTGATGTCACTTTGTTGGTATTTTGAAAGGACAATCGATGTAATATAAATTACAAATGATATATATCTATTGATTATTTTAGATAGCATATCCATTTTTTAATGGTTTGGTCTTCGGAGCATATGTTGGTGTTTGTTTGCAATCCCGTTTGCAATTAAACACCCAGAGATGCTCGAGTAGACGCTTTGACATACTTTGACAAAGATGAAATGTGGATTGAGTACCTACCTCATTTCTGGTGAAATACATTCTTGAATATTTGTATCTTTTTTAGTTTATTTTCTCCAGAATGAAAGTGAACTGATCATTATTTATTCTTATGACATTTGTAGATACCCATATGATACAGGTTTTCCAGAAAGGTGTTCATTTTCTCCGTATTCAGTACCTCTAGGCCACGGGTGTTTTCTTTGGAGCGATTCACCATTCTTGAATTTTGAAAATCTTCCAAAAATATATTTCGAGGTTACTATAGGTACACGCACAACCGGTATGAGCATCTGCATATTATATTATTTCATAACATGCGCATGCCCCTTGTCACAATATCTTATCTGTGATCTTATGGTTGTGTCACATAGCACAGAATTTTCACACAGAAAATGATTCAGATTATTCTGAATGTTTCATTGTGCTCAATGAAGATCCATTTTATAAAAACTGACCCGTGTCATACGGACTTTAGCAAGAAGTTTTGATGTCTCATTGTTGTGTCAGCTATCAGATACCAAACATATATTTCCTTTTCGTTTTCATCTCGTCGATGTCTGTTAATTGTCAACTGAAAATCGAGAGCAATCAAGTTGAATGAATCACAAAACATCTTATATAACGGCAATACATTTTCTTCATTTAGTACTATTGTAAATGGCTTATCTAACTTTCAACATGGCTTGATCGAGGCTAGGAACACTGCGTTCAACCTCTGTATTTTTTGCAACCAATTTCTGATTCATCAATAAATATTTTGTTTCGTCCAGGTGAAAGTAGCGAAGAAGATAGCGAAAGACATGGAACGATGGGTGAAAACGCTGAACCAGAAGAAGGACAACTTCAACATGAAATCATCGGCCGACTACAACTCCGGCAGCAGCAGCGCCTCGGCGGACATCGGCTTCTCGGTGCTGGAGAAGAAGGCGGTGACGATCGCTCCCGCCCCACCGTCGTTCTTCAAGCAGCCCGAGGCGATCGAAGAGGCGCCGAGTACCTCCGCTGTGGCCGCTGCGGCTGCTGCTGCCGCCGCCTCTGCTGCTGCTGCTGCGGCGGCGGCGGCTGCTGCGGCCGCTGCTGCGCCGTTGGTGGCTGCTTACGGCGGGGAGAGCGAATCTTCAGGTATTCGTCGATTTATTATCATCTTGTCGAATGCCCGGGATCAAAACGTATCCGCAATTTTTATTGTAATCACTGTTATGGCGCGTTCACATGACAGCTTTCGCCTATCGCGGAAAGTTTGAATAAAACGAGCGCTCTGATCACATGAACTTCTGACAAAAGCGACAGTTGAGGAGACAAATCTCAAATATTGAACTTCAATCAATTAACAACTAATTGAAATTACATTAGAAAACAATATATCAAAAAAGTAGGAAACAATACTAACCAGCTCACAGAATTCGGTAATCTTCATTGGTGATCATGTATTCTACAGAAATGTTATTAACTATAACTGGAAATTGTACCAGCATTTCACTATTTTCCCTATTTTAATATGACATTTCTCACCACAGTTGAACAACTAACCTGAAAAGGTAAAACCCTGGAAATCGGAGCTTCTTTTAGACAAAAATCGGATCGTAATCGTCATTTTGGCATATGACCTTGATACGCGCTCACATAAATCGGCCAATCGAATCACAGTACGCCATAAGCCAAGAGACCAAGGCCCGTATTTATAGTCGTTTCCTCGAGAACTCCTCAAGTCTTCCTCATCTGAGGATTCCTTGAGGACTCCTCAGTACTTGACGTTAAACTTGTTTTATAGACCTCCCTCGAGTATTCCTTCTAAAAGGAGCCCTTACACTTGGCAACAGCGTATAATTTCAGTGTTCTGTGACCAAATTTGTTGTTTCATGTCACAAAATGTAAAATGTCGAATTTGACAATGTTTACTGTTGAGTGTGGACATCGAAAGATTCTAATAGTCCAGTAATTATTTTGAATCTTCAAAGCACAAAGGATAATATTCTGTGTTCGAAGGTTGGTTCAAATTGGGCCTAACAATATATTACTTCGATCACAGACAAAATATTTCCAAGGTTCCCCAAAATGAAGAGAGGGTGAAGAGTTTATTTCGATGACGATTTTGGAAAATTACAATACAAAAACTAATCTATTAAAAACGGATTCTTTCAAGCTACAATGCAATAATATGGCCAGGAAGAAGAAAAATATCCATTTGATTGAATACTTCGAATAAATCTGTGATTTTGTGTGGTTGTTCATTGAAAATGTGTCTTCATTTCACTTGATTATTTGGGATTTTCTCCTTGTTTCTATTAATATGAGTATTATTTGAAAAAATGTATGTATTTCAATTTCATGAACAAATCATCAAGATGATACCTATATATAATAATTGTGAATTTGCTGAGTTTACATTATTTGTAATATATACCTGCTTTGAAATAAAAAAAAAAGATTTGAATACTTTTCAACTAACCTTGAATCAGCTTCTACTGAAAATCGATATACTCGAATCAGATATTCTATGTACAAATTTCAAGACTTGCATATTCATTTGATTGCTACATTCAATTTCATCATTCCATTCATGGAATTCATAACATAACCCGAAATAATACTAGAAATTGGATCAAGGAATGCTCAAGGTACCTCTTTACCTTCCTTGGAATTGACATTTCCTTAAGGCTTCCTTTGAGCTCATATTACGACTATAAATTGGAAACTGGTCCTTAAGGATGCCTAAAGAGACGAGGTCACCTTAAGAAGCGACTATAAATACGGGCCCAAAAGCCAGCATTAAACGCGTCATTACTCAGTCATATATTATGTGATGATATTATATCAATATTAGTAAATGGAGATATTTCATATCATCACATAATATGGTGGCATGGTGGCATGTTTCGAGCCTGAAAAGGCCCATCTTCAGCGAAAGAGGAAATCACTCAAAATTAGATACACTTACATGTAAAAAAAAATAATGAAATTTATACTTCAGAATACTAGTTATATTATACTATGTGTGACATGAAGGTGTGATAATTATACCCGGTACCTAACCCTGCGCTGACCGATCCGTTGTTGCAGGCGACGAGGACGACGACCTGCTGGACTTCGCGAAGCTCATCTGCCACCTGTGCAAGCGCCAGCTGGGCTCCGGCGAGGCCCTGGCGAAGCACGCGAAGCTGTCGGCGCTGCACAAGCAGAACCTGGAGGCGCGCAGGCAGCGCAAGGCGGACAAGCGCGACGACAAGATCGTCTACCGCGACAGGTGCGTCGATCATTGCTTCTCTACCCCCCTGATATTTTACAATAGTTGGGTGAGAATTGAGCTAAATAATAGCATTCTCACCTGAGGTATATACACTTCTCCAAGTAATTATTATCGATCCGACATTATACCCCTCGGCTGAAGGCTCGTGATATAATCTGGTCCCTGGGCAATAATTACATGCTTTACTACCTTGTTGTATAAATAACTATTTTGTACCATTGGCTTCAGAATCTACCATTAATTAACCTTTTTCAAGATGTTACCGTCGAAATACCAATTTGGGGTTTGTATGTTGAACTTTTTGACAAAACACGCACTGGCAAACCATAATAGAGTTTTATAACAGAAACAAAGAAAGCCAATGGGAATACAAAAAGTCTTGAAATGGTAACAAAAACACAGCACATCAACACTGTAACGTCGTATTTTGACATAGGTTTATGGCTTTTAAGTAAAAAGATGCGTAACTCGTAGTAAACACGTTAATACAACGTTGCCACACTTATTTCCATAATATGCATTAATTATAATTTTGTGTAATGATGAAATTAGGAAAATTCTAATCATTTCAATAGCAGAATTCACATATTTCAATTGAGGAACGAACATACAGGATGAATATACATAAAAACATGTATGTTATATGTATGATTGATTTATGATAAATGCTTTCCTCTCGTTGTCAAACACAGGCGGTACATCTAGGACGATCGGCAGAAATGTGTCATCATCGTTTTGTGTGGAAAACGATGTTAGATCGAGACAAAATTTCAACCCTCTTTTTAAATGTCTATGGAATAAACCATCCTGTTGAGTTAACAAGCCTTGAGTGCGTTGACCGATTCGGGTGGATGAGAATCCGCGCCTGACCAAAAACCCCGATCTCACTGTGTCCAACATAAGCTTGTCAGGAGTCATTTCAATGCTTGATATTACTATTAGCAATAACCTTTCTTGTGAAAATCACGTGAGATCAATTGCTAGAAGTGCATCCCAAAAACTTGGTTTTCTGTTCCGGACCAGGAGCTATTTCACTTCCAGTCAGCTGCTTATGATCTATAAGGCACAGATCCGACCTGTCCTGGAATACTGTTTCCATATTTGGAGTGCAGCACCCAAACATACCCCGAAACTGTTGGATTCTGTCCAAAAAAGGGTAATTCGCCTTGTGGGTGATGCCTCGCTCACAAACTCACTCAATTCTCTGGAACACCGTAGAAAAGTGAGCAATCTGGCTCTATTTTATAGATATTTTCATGGACGATGCTCTTCTGAAATATCAACAATTGTTCCTCCCTTGGCAGTCCCCGCGAGATTAATCCGTCGAGTTGAGGCTTCGCACCCCTTCGTGGTCACTTTGGAGCCCTGCAAAACATGTCTTTCCAAAGACTCATTCATCCAACGAACAACGAGGCTCTGGAACACATTGCCAAGGAATGTGTTCCCCGAGGCAAATAACCTCCAGAAATTCAAGAAGAACACCAATTCCTACCTTATTTCCCTTGGTTCTCACAATGTTCTCTGAACATTATATTCCTGGGAACCAGAACATAAAAAAAATCACCTAACGCTTATACGTCCATGGGATATCCCTTTTCTCGGAAACCAGAACATAAAACAAATCACCTAACGCGATTCGATCGGCTTCCAGGGCGAAGGAGAGACGCATGAAGTACGGAGACCCGGACGAGCCGAAGCCGAGCAAGCTGAAGGAGAAGTACCTGAAGGCCAGGGAGGTGGAGGGGCCGTCTTCTGGAGGCGGCGGCGGCGCCTCGGTGACGGAGCCAATCGGGGCCGAGAACGTCGGCAACCGGCTGCTGCAGAAGATGGGCTGGACGGAGGGCCAGGGGCTCGGCAAGCAGAACCAGGGCAGGACGACGATCATCCAGGCGAGTGTTTTTTATCAACTGGTCAACATTGATAACGTCGTGGTCCAGAATATAGCCTTAATTCAAAGTAGAATAACTCACGAATTTCCTTTCCAATTTGAAATCGGCTTTCACCGATGATCAGCCTAATCTAGAGTTCCTAAATGTACTTGACACTGTTGTTTTGACGTTTTTTTTATATTAGAGTACGGACACTAGACAAGCAGTGACAATCAACCATAACCCCAAACGATTCTGAAGCAAATCATATGTTTTGCCAGACAAGGACAAGAATATGTTTTTCGCTTAGATAAAGGATCCTCGCATCTTCCTTCCTTCAAAGTCCTGGGAAGAGTACATCCATATATCTTTTTCTGTCTTTGATTTTTGTATGAGAGTGCATATCGTCTCCTCGAGTGGGTAAAGGGGTACGATAAATTGATTATAAAATGATTTCTTGTCGAACTATTGCATGATAAGACTGAAGGACCTCAATGGAGGTCGATATAATGGAGTGTTACTTCGTCATGAGGATGTCTGGTATCTGACCTCGAAATGGTTTTGTAATTTCTCGGATCGAAGGTCATATAATGAAGGTACGCATTTTTAATCAAAATGATGCATTTTCGTTAAGATACATTATGAAATTCAAAAAATTACGATTGTAGTTCCAGAAGTATGAAATTTATAGTATTTTTTGACGATGGATTTACAAGGTGCGATAAAAAATATGTCCAGATTGTCCCGGGATGAAGAAGAATATGTTTAAACGTGATGAAAATCATTATGTTCCGAAAAAGAAATATAGTGTTGGTCATTGTCGAAAATTGTGAAATGTATGAGTACAGTAACTTTTCATGAGGTTTATACGAGGAAATATGAAAGAGACTGCGGAATTGCCATAGATTCGATAAAATGTTTTTCATACTAATGAAGATAAATACAGTCCTCATGAGACTCATACGAGGTAATTTGAAATAGACTTCACATATTGGAATGAATGTCAATCCAATATGCAATTAGGATTTTTTTCTCCATGACAACTCCTATCATGAAAAATCTGAAAATACGTTTAAATCTCTTTATCGAGAATTCTTATCCTCCCAAATTAGTGAAAAATATTTTATTCAACACACCAAATGTTCCAATGAACTTACCTGATAATAATATCAATATACCTGATACCCAGTCACCAACATCAATAACTCTAATTTTTTCACCACCTTACCTCATTTCAAGGAACTAGCTCCTAATTTGTCAAGAATATTCTCGTCCATCCCAAATATGAAACACTGTTTCACCAATTAAATCAATTTTTTCAAAACTAAAGGATGAAGTCCCACTGACATGGCAATCACATGTTGTTTACTGTATACCTTGTCAGGATTGTGACAAAAAATATATTGGTCAATCTAAACGGTCCATTTCCAATAGAATAATTTCCCACAAGAGTGACAGTAGGCTGCATCCTGAGAGATGTGCTTTGGCTTGTCATGTCAATGAGTTTGATCACAAAATGAGCTATGAATCTGTGTCAATTTTAGCAAAGGAGAGTTACTACACTAAAAGAGTTTTTCTAGAAATGGCCTTCATTTCTCAATAACCAAAGTGCATCAATAAAAAGACTGACGTAGATCACTTGAGTGAAATTTATGCATACCTGTTGTCAGTGGACAATGACAATGACAATTGTGTTTGATCCTGTTTTTTGTTCGTCTTTTCAACTATGTCATTATCGTCTCAATACAATTTTATCATTACTAACATTAATGTGAACCAATCTCAACAAAGATGTAAGTGAAATTTCCCTAGCTATAATTAATGTGACCTAATGGAAAATTGTTGTAGTATCCCTGATGATGGAAATATAAGAATCCGAAAGCTTGAACAAACTTTAAAGAGTACTCTTTTCACTTTACTGCATTCCTCAATAAACCTAGTTCCACCTATATATACAGGGTGACTGTAAAAGGTTTGGACATGGCGCGGCTGTGGACTCCTGGGATAAAAACAAATTGATTTAGGCCAACTTACCTATTTCCAAATTCGTCTCGTTGAGTTGGTACAAGGCGTTGAAGTTTTTTGGAAAAAAAAAATTTTGCTCATAAAAAGAGTAGGCTGGGATCAATTTTCATAATTTTTGGCATGGCATGTTCTGTGACTGTGAGTCACGTTTTGAGATGTTTTTGATCATTATTTAAGTGACCTGCAAGTGTTTCAAACAACCATGTTGCGGTATAAATTTGGTGACTTTTCAGAGGTCGGACTGGAAAGTTCCAGTTTTTTTTCTGGATAGATATTCCCTTCAGAAATATTTCTTGTATTGTGTTAATTTCTGATAAGTCTCGAGATTCATTTGCTAATAAATGTTTTCTGATATGATGCATAGTGCGCATTTTTGAAAATTAATCTAATTAGTCGGACTGTTTATTGATCATGGCTACAATGTATTCTTATTGTAAACAAACTGATATGTTGCTGATCCTCGTGGGTTTTACAAGAACTCTAGCGTTACAAATTTAGAGATAACTATTCAGTACCAAAGGTGAGCACTTTAACGCCTTGTACCAACTCAACGAAACGATTTTGGATATGGGCAAGTTGGCTAAAATCCACTTATTTTTATCCCAGGAGTCTACAGTCAAGCCATGTCCCAACCAGATTATTTTTCAAAAAAATGCATAAGATGCCTAAGATCAGAAATTATTTATTTGCAAATGAACCTCGAGACTTATCAGAAATTAACACGATACAAAACATATTTCTGGAGGGAATATCTTTCTGAAAAAAAAAAACTGAAAGTTTCCAGTCCGACCTCTGAAAAGTTATCACCAAATTTGTACGGCAACGTGGTTGTTTGAAACACTTGCAGGTCACTGATAATGATCAAAAACATCTCAAAACGTGACTTACAGTCACAGACCATGCCATGCCATGAGCAAAATTATTTTTTTCCAAAAAAACTAGAACGCTTTGTACCAACTCAACAAGATAATTTTGGATATAGGTAAGTTGGCCTAAATCAACTTGTTTTTATCCCAGGGGTCCACAGCCGAGCCATGTCCCAGCCTTTTACAGACACCCTGCCCACTGTGCAAAAACTCATACTATTAACGTTATTTCATTGTAACCAAGATACCTTGTTACGTTGTGAATTTGGTGCTATTGACATCTTAAAGATTATCTTAGAGTCGTTATATGTCCACCAACAGTACAATATCGCAGGACGTCGCAAGAACGTTGAGTAAGAGTCGAAACTGATACGTGTCATGAAACAGCTTTGTTACAGTGAAAGTACATTCTCAAATAGTATTTGCGATAACGCATTCACGTACCATGTCTTCATTTCGGAATGTAAAAAGTACATATCCCTGGACGATTTCATAACATACCTGTTTCATTATTGTTGACTCTCTTGTAACATTACTAGGATCTTTCGAAATATACAGATGCTCCAAAAATGTTCACCCTTGTAACTTGGTTATTTCTAGACCAATATTCGTGAATTCTGAAAACTAATACTGGTATAATCACATAGCTAGATTTTATCACACTGGGTTTTTCATAATATGTGGGACGCGTCCTCTCATTTCTCCCACTACAGAGAACGATAAATAGGTATAATGAAGCAAACTTGGTTCAATCATCTCAAATGTATCGGAAGAAATAAAAAATGGTAGGTATTTTTGACAACTTGAAAACAAAAGAGTTCTGGTCAATTCTTTGAAGGATGATTTATTATTGTTTTGAGCTGCCCTATCACATCTTGATGTGCGTCCCATATATTTTGAAACACCCAGTATACATTTTCTGGCTAAAAAATATACCAAATAGTTTTTGAATTCTGCGATCGGTCCAGAAATGACTAAATTTACAAGAGGGAACATTTATGTTGGATCACCCTGATATTTACTATAGTCAGCTCCATTGCTGAATACCCACTTATCAGAGGAGAAAAATAAATTCAGAAATGTATTCAATCAATGTATGTAAGGTAGAAGTACAATTGGAAATAAATGGATATTTGATTGACTATAATTATATCCTTCCACGTATGTCACTTCAGTTAGTTCAGTTTTATGATTCTATGGGCGAATCTATTTCAAGACTGAGGATTTCATGAAATGCACCTGAAACACCAAACAATTGTAATACACAATATCAGCATCAAATATTCATATCATCCTACCTTGATTCTGCCTCGATTAGTTCCCTTCCTGATGGTGTGTTCTTGATTCTCGAAACTTTCACCCTCCTCTGTGGCAGTGGGTGGATTTTAGAGTGTTCTAGCCCAATGTAAGAGTTGATTTTCATGTTCGTCATCATTTTTTCATATACGCCTTTCAAGAATAAAGGACTTACTAATTCTTGTGTCCCCCAAATTTCTCTATTTTTGATTGAATGAAATCCCAGATACTTGGATTCTGAAATATATACCATACCTAAGTAATAAATTTACATTACCTACTATATGCATTTCACTTTTTCATACCTGAACTTCCCAGGCAAACAGCAGATGTGTATTCCATCATTTCGACTAAAGTAGGTCAGAGCAGGGTAGATTTGTCTAGAGCTCACGCATGTTCTAGTAATGTAGGTATCCATCAGGTTCCGAGGAAACTTCATAAGTACTGACCTGTAAACAATGTAGTACTTGAAGACATTGATATATTCCAATGAAAGCTTCCGTGAATGACATAAATCAAACTATTTTGAGGGAGCCTGTTGGTCACTGATATACCTATATAGCTATTTGGTTATACATTTTTCTATATTGCGTATGACCTAACCCCAAAAATCAAATAATATTACTGAGTTCATTTGAAACAAAGAGAGGAACAATAATAGAGGACTTGTGTGCTTGTAGTTATATTTATCACATAATTATATATTCACTGAGGAAGATACCCGACAATAAATTATGACTGAAGCCATTATGAATCAGACAACTGTGTGCTGATACATAAACAGAAAATTATGATTTTGGTAATTCAACTCACCTATCTCACCATGTTTTCCAAAAAACGCACTTCCACTTGATTTTCTTGACTATAGTCTACCTCAAAAGTCAAAATTCACACTTTATTGTGAGACACATCGAACACAACACAACACAAACCACGCCGTCCGTCATAACCACGACAGCATCATCTCTCAAAATGGCGAATATTAGCAAAATAGCACAAAGTGAGAAAGATACGTGTCTGATTCGAATCAAGTTCGTGATAATAGTCCCACGGAAAATGATAAAAGTACGTCACATAAAATGTTCTGTGGATGAAATAAGAATACTTTGGAGAAGGCGTTGGAATATTGACTCAAATAAGATCACATAGACGTGCATACGTCAGTTTACTGTTACGAAACAGCGATGTGTATCTGGGGATGTAGCAGAGTCAGCCCAAATAAGAGACGAATTAAAACGTCACAGAAATATGTTATTATCACTTATAAAAGATGTAATCTCAAAAAGGTCACCAAAGGTACAAGAAATTAACGTTACCAAACATCCCCGGGATGTTCCTTGCTCAGTGGGTGTATATTATATATAACCATTTTTTTCATGTTCATAATATATCTGAGAATATTGCTTTTCAATACATATCTGTGGATCGTGTTAATGTTAACTGATGCTAATTAACATTCAAATTTTGTCTAAATCATGATAGTATTCGACTTCTATCAAGAGTACCTGTTTTGTAGTAAACAATAAGTTACACAATCCAAATTTCAGATTCATTATTTTTTCTTTCCATTGGCGTAGAACTTTTAGATTTTTTTTACTGAAAAAATCAAATTCGCCCATGGAATGATATTTATCATAATCACGATATTGTTGTTTATTCCAGGCTGAACAGCATAGCAGCACTGTAGGATTAGGAAACAAACTTCCAGGTTACACCGCTTTAGCTGGTGAATCGTACAAAGACTGTGTGAAAAAGATGATGTATGCTCGTTATCAAGAATTGACGGAGAAAGAAAGTAGTAATTGATCAAGTTAGGGCCGGTTGAGTTTTTTAATATATTTATGAGTATCATCGACAAACAATAGCTGATGTTATGAGTGATGTGGATGAAACTCGCGAGTGTTTGTTGATGATACTCAGCTTTCCTTTTTTTCATTCTGTCAACTTTTCAAGTGCCAAACACTACAGAGCCCAAGTGTTATATTAAAATTATTCCGTATTTTGGAGTTTTTCAATGTTTGATTTGATGTTGTATTTATTATAATGTCCTTGAAATCATGTTACATTCAAATTTTATTTCAAATTTATTTCACAATGCTTGAATTGATTTATCTTAATGTTTTGCCTGAAAATTATAAATGAGAGTTGATATATTATTATGAATATCCTATAAGTACTGAGTTGAGAATCTTGTTTTTCAGTTGGTTAATTTGTATGTGTTTTGGACACAATTATCACTCTTATTTTTCGGAAATGATATATTTTCCTTTGTTTTTTTTTGTATTTATTTATAACTGATTTAAACAATACAACTTTTTTTACTTCTAATGTGAGTATATTGTTTTCAATAAATACTGTCATGAAATTCGATGTTTGCAGCTTAATTTCCCTAATAAATACCTATATCAGAATCCTATTCTGAATTTCACTACTCTCATTTGAATAAGGATATGATCAAATGTTGCCAACAGTATGGATTTCATTGTTAGGGATATTGATTATGACAGTTTTATCGGGGAGGTGGAAAAAATCTAGTTATAGATGCCATTCTTGAGTCCAAAATGGAAAAAATCTAGTTCTAGAAAAAACCGATAGAACTTACAGTTACAGTTTTTCGACACCGATTTTTGGAGGACAATCTATATTAACAATCAAAATCTTCTAGGTATTGGTATGGTCACAGATTAACAAACTAAAGGTTTGTTAATCTGTGGTATGGTATCAAAGTACACATCCGTTTAAAAAGTTTTGTATGCTTAGTTTATGAGATATAAGCCGACAAAGCTCGTAAAAACGTCGAATCGGGGTAGGATTGACGGAAGAAAAAAATTGTGTTTTTTTTCAGTATAAATAAAACAAATGATGTGAGCTAGAAAATGTATTGATCGGAACTCATCTTAAAAATGTAGTTATAATCACATTGATTCTTTCCTGCAGGTAGGTAGGTATTTAGCTTAGTTGTCTTTAGAGACGTGTTTATATGACGTCGATTTCAGGTCAATATTGGTCAGAGAAGTCCTGTGACCAACACAGGACGTTAAAATTACATTTTAAGTGATTCAAATAACCATCATAATGACGTTGACGTGATTATACTCTTCCCGAAAAACGACGTCTAGTTGACATACTATCGACGTCATTATTGTTCACCATAAGAAAATCTCGTATCATACCTGATCATACCTTTGAAATAATTCTAATAATGTAGTAGGTATTTGATTTGAATAGCGCGCCAACGATGGCAGCACTGTTCCTCTTGACCTCGGTTATGACCAGTGTTGTCATTGTGAACGATTTGACGCCGATTGTAGAATATATGTCGACTTCCATTCTGTTGTATTTTGCTACATAGAAGTATATGGGTTATATCCTTACATGCCATTATTTGCGGATACACGATAAAATGAAAAGATATGATCCAGACTCGAATTTTTTCACGTGTGTTTGCTTTTTATTTTGTTTTCGTGAAAATATTTTTCTGGTTCAACTATTCCTGATATTTATTCACATCATAATATGAATTTGTTTCCGATCAATCAACAGGCATTATTTTGATACAAAAACAAATGAGAATATAGTTCGGACGTCATCTTTCTGTTGCTTTGGCGACTGACGGAATACTGGCAACGGTGTACACGCGACTCAGTACGAACACGAAATACGCAGCGCCGACTCGTTACCCCACTTCACCACTTCACCAACCGAACACGAAACGCGAGAAACAAGAAACAATTGAAACGAAAAGCGAACCGCAAGGCGGCCACTCGGCCAGTCACAAGGTCATGATATGTTGTATGTGGTTATTGTGGTTGTAGAATGTGGTTCTATGTTGTCTTCTCTTCAACCAACTCGGAAATCTCTGATGTCCGACGAGCGACTGGGATGGTTTGAATATTTTTGAATCTGCTCCATTTTTTTAAGTCTTAAACGGGAGCAGATTCGTCGTTCCCGAATAAACGTCCAAAGCTAAGTGAAAATTTGATATTTTTTCTATATACCTACCTTTATTTCTCTTCTCCAAACCTTTTTCAATACAATTTATTGTCACTAACAAGCTAGAGAATGTTTCTTTTAGGCTCTCTGATTGGAAAATTATTTGAACGCAGGAGAGAAAATCCCAGAAATCTGAAATAATAAATTTTTATGTAATTTTTCAATCGTCTTAAGTGTTGTCTGATGCTTTGAATTTCTAAAATTCAAGATCTGTTGTGACCATCATGAGAGTAATCGAATTTTATCAATAGTATACCTCTTTTGTTGTAAACAAGTTACGCAATCCAGATTTCATATTGAAACCCCTTTTTTCCCATTGGCGTAGAAGTTTCAGATGTTTAGATATTGAGAAAATTAAGTTCTACGCCCATGGAATGACATTTTTGATAATCAATAAAGCTATATGCCAACGCGCCGTGTACTCATACCTACCAAATTTGAGTGAAATCTCATGATCAGATTCAAAGTTATGAGGCAATGGCAATATGTGGCTGAAGTTAGCTTCAGATTTAAATCTGCGTTCTCGCCAATTTCTAGCAGGCCAGATGAATAGTGTCCGATAATTCATTTTGAATGAAAATTAACAGAAGAACTCAAAATACTGGTAATTTCATCAATATTATTTGATATAGGGATCCATTACGATGTGTAATATAACTATACAAATAAGTTCACCAAGTATAAAGTTATACATAAATAACTATATAAACAATGGCTTGAGGTCTGATACATAATAATATATAGTATTTGCTCATCGAGAACATTTCTGGAAAATTATTCAGAGGGTAGTGACTCTTCGAAATTGATGAAGACAAGATTAATACAAGCCAACATTGCTAACGGGGTGAAAAACCCTCACTGTAGGAATGATATTAAGTTTGAAATACAGAAAAATCTGACGTTGTCGGGCAATTTTGAAGGTCGTATGATATCATCATGACCTCGATCAACCATGTCAACATAGAGATTTAGACGCGCCAACGTTCCTTACGGGGTGGCCACCCCACACTTGAAATAATATAAAGTATCGATTACCGAAAAATCTGACGTTGTCGGACAATTCTGAAGGTCGTATGGTATTATCATCACCTCGATCAACCATGTCAACATAGAGATTTAGACCCGCCAACGTTCCTTACGGGGTGGCCACCCCTCACTTGAAATAATATAAAGTATCGATTACCGAAAAATCTGACGTTGTCGGACAATTTTGAAGGTCGTATGGTATTATCATCACCTCGATCAACCATGTCAACATAGAGATTTAGACGCGCCAACGTTCCTAACGGGGTGACAACCCTTTACTTGATATCATATAAAGTAACGATTACCGAAAAATCTGACGTTGTCGGGCAATTCTGAAGGTCGTATGGTATTATCATCACCTCGATCAACCATGTCAACATAGAGATTTAGACGCGCCAACGTTCCTAACGGGGTGACAACCCTTTACTTGATATCATATAAAGTATCGATTACCGAAAAATCTTACGTTGTCGGGCAATTTTGAAGGTCGTATGATATCATCATGACCTCGATCAACCATGTCAACATAGAGATTTAGACGCGCCAACGTTCCTTACGGGGTGGCCACCCCTCACTTGAAATAATATAAAGTATCGATTACCGAAAAATCTGACGTTGTCGGGCAATTTTGAAGGTCGTATGGTACCATCATGACCTCGATCAACCATGTCAATCTGGAGATTTAGACGCGCCAACGTTCCTTACGGGGTGGCCACCCCTCACTTGAAATAATATAAAGTATCGATTACCGAAAAATCTGACGTTGTCGGGCAATTTTGAAGGTCGTATGATATCATCATGACCTCGATCAACCATGTCAACATAGAGATTTAGACGCGCCAACGTTCCTAACGGGGTGACAACCCTTTACTTGATATCATATAAAGTATCGATTACCGAAAAATCTGACGTTGTCGGGCAATTCTGAAGGTCGTATGGTATTATCATCACCTCGATCAACCATGTCAACATAGAGATTTAGACGCGCCAACGTTCCTAACGGGGTGACAACCCTTTACTTGATATCATATAAAGTATCGATTACCGAAAAATCTGACGTTGTCGGGCAATTTTGAAGGTCGTATGGTATTATCATCACCCCGATCAACCATGTTATAATGGAGATTTACAACAATCTCAATCAAATAGCGCCAAGAAGTGTTTCTCTCACCGCAACTTTTGACAAAGCTCAGATTCGACCATCTCTTGAGTACTGTTTGCATGTCTGGAAATCAGCTCCAAAACATTCCCTGAAGTTGCTTAAGTCGGTTTGACCCAATTCTGACAAGATCACTGCAAACCTTACAACATCAAAGAAACGTTGCAGACCTATGATTAATTACCCTTCTATCGATCGCTATCATCATCATGGACGATGCTCGATGCAGCTGTCCCCCCTGGAAAGACCATTATTTGCCAAGACTGCTACATCAAGTTTCTCACTCATATGCAGTCAAAATTTTAAACATCTAGAACATCATATTTCAAGAACTTCCTTTTTGTAGGACATTGTCAATTTGGACTGTTTAGTGTTTTGCTCACGGATGAATTTACAGAAAACTACAACAGTTGTCAGTAGAATATTCATTGCTAGAAATTTGACAATTAGTATAGCTGAGGATAGGTAGGTATGATAACTATGACGATAACACAAGTAGATCTTCGTTTTATCAGGTGAGGAATTGAAAATGAAGACATACAATGTATATTGCGTTGTTCCATGAAAAGCTTTCGATTCGGAATCAATTAAATCAGATTCTTGTGGTCGTTCAGACACTGAAACCTAT